CTCTCTCTCTCTCTCTCTCTCTCTTTTCGTTCTTTTCCTTCTATCTTATCTTCTCTCCTCTCTCTTTCTTTTTTCGTTATTTTCTTCTATCTTCTCTCCTCTCTCTCTTTCTTTTTTCTTCATTTTCCTTCTCTCTTTTTGTTTAAAAAAATATTACCTACACTACTTATGATTATTAATTTTGTTGTCTCACACAAACCCCAAGCCCGCCTATAATTTTTTTGTCTCGCATAAAGACAGCTATTTCAGAAATTTCAGAAATTAGTGTTTGTATTTGTAGATATAGATGCAATTGAGGGTAAGGCTCATTACGTCACCCTCACTATCTATATCTTTTTATGTTTATTAATGAAATTTACTCCTACCGTCGAGTTTAGTATATAAGTTTTGCCCGGTCAGCTTTCGAATCCTGGAATGCCACTGCTCTCCCTTGTAAGATTATCACTTGTACTAAAAAAATCAGAGAGCAAAGATGTCAAATAATAGTCTATGAAGAAGATAAGAGTTTATATTCTACAAGAATTCTCTATAAATAAAGATAAAATGTTAAACATTAAAATAATATTATCAACACTCATGTGAAACTAAGGGGGGTGTATTCAATTAGGATTATAAAGCGTTTAAAAAGATTTTAGAAATCTTGGTGTATTCAATTTGGATTTAAACAAACTTTAAAAGAGGTTTTACAAGTCTGGGTGTATTCAATTCAGAATTGTATGAACTTTTAAAAAGTCCATTCAAATATAGTCTTATAGTGTGTGGTGTAGGTTGAGCCCCATGGCCTTGTGGCCTTGTCGGCTTGTCCTATATCACAATTAACCTTGAATCTTGATAGTTGATGATACGAGGGGCATGGATTTCTATGGCGATTGGTGCCTGCCTGCCATGTTAGTATGTTACTTTTAAATGATATCTTAGTCTTATTTAATTACTTTTATTAGTAATTATATGTGAATTATTATTTCTTTATTGAAATATTAGTCTTAAATATTTTAATTAACTTCATAAATCATATTACTTAATAAATAGTAACTAATTTTTTTTTCTTTAATAAAATATTTAAACACCTATTATTCACTAAGTAAACAATAATTAAAACATAACTGATAATTAAAGCGTATAGCCGCGCGGCTATACGTTTAAATATTCCATTTATAGCGTATAGCCGGGCGGCTATACATTGAAAATATTCTATTAAAAGGATATAGCCGCACGGCTATACGTTTAAAATTTTCTATTTACAGATTATAGCCGCGTGGCTATACTGTTACAATTTTCTATTCAAAGCGTATAGCTGGGAGGCTATACTGTTACAATTTTCTATTCAAAGCGTATAGCCGGGCGGCTATACTATGAAAATATTCTATTTAAAGTGTATAGCCGAACGGCTATACAGTTAAAAGTTTCTATTTATAAAGTATAGCCGATCGGCTATACTCTTTAAATATAACAATAAATATAAATAAATACATCAAAAAACCTCTCCCGACGAGTTTTTATCGGCATAGGTCTACCCCGGCAAATATTTGCCGGATTAGACTTCTCCCGACAAAAGTTACCTCTACCGACAAAACTTCGTTGGGAGAGGTCTAATCCGGCAAACTTTCGCCGGGATAGACCTATGCTGACGAATTTTCTTCGGTAGAGGTTTTTTTTTTAAAAAAAAAAACACAAACTTAGTATCTTTAGATCAATAAAATTTTATTTTTAGTAATTAAATAATATCTGAGCCTGATTTAATTACTTTCAATAGTAACTATGTTTTAATTATTATTTCTTTAGTGAATAACTAGTAAATAAGAAAATGGATGGAAGAGATAAGAAGCTGGAGAAAGAAAACAATCCAAAAATGATAAAAAGATATTCATTATCTTAATAAACTAGTAGTTAAATACAAATAACAAAGATTCCACAAGTTCAGGCTCCTAGAACATATCAGGGAAGGAAGCTGACTGTGTGCGAAAATAGGATTAGCAATGGACATTTCCCCAAGTGCTTTAAGTATGGAAGATAGATTTTTTTTGTATTTCTCGGAACCTCTCACGTATGGATGCCTGCTCTCCCTAAGTTGTAACTCACGTGCCTCCTCCTTTGCAGTCCTTCCTTTATCTAGCACATCAAAATGATTGTAATGCTACTAATAAATTCATAAAGTAAAAAACAAAGAGAGATTTCCAGTGGAAAAAGTACAGATGCAACAATAACCTCACCAGGTTTCTTTGCAGACTTCCCAGTTTCCCTTTTACCTGTACAACCATTGGCTGGCTCTACCGTGGCATCCTCATACATCCGAAAAAGGCCCTTCGCTTGTTTCATGTTCTTAGCAACGACGGACTCTGCAATGTAGACACCTTGCTCACTGGAAAGCAAGCCTTCAGGAAATCTGAAACAACATAAGTGGAAAAGAATTTGAAACAAGTTACAGAACAGAAGAAAAAAACAATAAGTAAACTAATATATCCTAAACAAATTACAAAACGTAAATGGAGAACAGTTTTCAGGAACATCAAGGTTACCAAAAAAAGAACAGAATTCCACTTTATCTCTGTCTTTTACCTCTCTACTGTTTTTACATGTGAATTGTGAGGCTTAAAAAACAGTAATGTTTTTTTTTATAAAAACAAACTAAATACAGAAGGATTGAACCTTCAAAACGTATTGCAATTTCCAAAACAAAAAAAAAATTAAATGAATAAAGATCTAAATGTTCATGTCCACCTCTTGAGATTGGTATATTTTGGATTTTATAACTGTCAAAATTCTTTAGTAATCATAGCATTAGCACTGACAAGACCTTCTTATGGAGCCATTATCCCTCAGTCAGCTTTGAGAAGCAGTGTTTGCATCACATTGTACCCGGGATCAAGTTTCCGCTGCCATCCCTGCAAAACAGAATCAGTGATGAGATTTGTATAAGATCAGTTATTGATGACCACACCAATGATAATATAAATTCGAGCAAATTGCCTCTCATATTTGTATAAGATATCAGTTATTGTCCATTTCTGCTACTCATGGTAAACCTATTATATAATACAAAAAACTATCATATTTGTTTTTCTGAGACAATTAAATTAAATTTATAAAGAGAAGAGAAAGGAGTAAAGGATATATGGCCACAGACAAAAGCAGAAAAACAAATAAAGAAAAGAAAACTTGATAATCTGCGTGTGCTTTAATTTAATGTCTTTGTGTTTATAAATTGCACATGCCTATATTGCAAAGATTGCAGAATTTCATAAGAGAATTTCCATGCTTCAGCTGCAGTAGATAAAGGAAAAAGAAATTACCTCAAGAACCAAAGTGGTTACCATGACAGTACAGACATTGCCATCGACATTGACTCTATGACGCCTAACTTTCTCCAGTAACTGCTGCATCCACTCAGCGGGATGGACCAGATCACCTTCTGGAGTACCCCAGAAAGCGAATGCCTCCTCCACTTGTTGTAAAAAGAAGAAGATTAGAAACTTCTATCAAATACAGAATGTAGATTATTATGGAGGGAAACTTGTAACAGAAGCTTCCTGAGTTCATAATATCATTGAGGAACTGCATTTTGTCTACAACCATAACACACAGAGTGATGAACAAACGGAAAAAGGAGTGAATACTACACATATATATATATATATCACATATTTCAATTGCGCTTGATAAAATTCAGGCTTTGAGACTAGGAAGTATTACCAGGGGAAGTTGGATTGAAAAGCAACATAATGTGAAATTCTTTCGTTGCATAATCTTAGCATAAAGGAGGAATATATATTTAAAGGGCAAATATCAAGATAAATGCCACGGATATCCAGAACTGTTAAGGAAAAACTAACAAGGCAAAACCTTTGAAGGTGAATTGCTTGCCCTTTTTAGAGAGGAGATGGTGGAAGATAGAACAATAGAGAGAGAAAAAAAATCAACCATGTAGGGATAAGATATTAGAAAGACAGTAGCTTTTTCCTACTTTGTTTTTCTTTGTTCTGGATTTGTTATGTATTCAGACCACATTCAGGTATATCAACTGGTATAATTCACAGACTTTAAGACACAACAAGATACTTAAAAGATTTAAACACAATCCAATCAAAATAGTCCAAAAGCATAAATGCATTGCAAGCAACATCAAAGGTATATATATATATGTTACCAGGTCCAGGAGCATCTTCAAAAGTGCGTGTGTCCCAATGCGAGCAAGCACAGATTTAATCCGATCATGCCCTTGAAGATCATCGACACATTCCCCTTGTTCATAAGTTTCCATCAAAACAGCGGGATGCACAAATGGGCAGCTTCCCTTGCAAGATCAACTTGAGACATGATAAAAACTGCGAACTGCTGTACACTCTCATCCAATCTCCACCACTTTAAAGCAGGAATGAAGTTTGAAACTTTTGCTACCGGATTGATTATAACAAAATCTCTCCTAATCGATTCACAAACACCAGGATGCCTAACCTTTACGGCAACTACTATGGGCTTCACCTGTTGACCAGCTCCACGCACTTGAGCAATACTTCCAGATGCTACTGGTTCCTCTTCAAAATTATCAAAAATCTCTGGGAGCTTGTGGCCAAACGCTTCGTTCGATAGTTTTCTTCGTGTAGGAAAAGCTATGTTCAGGAGCTACTGGTTTCTCTTCAAAATTATCAAAAATCTCCGGGAGCTTGCGGCCAAACGCTCGTTCGATAGTTTTCTTCGTGTAGGCAAAGCTATGTTCAGGAGCTTTGGTGTGAAGCTGAGAGCTTCGTCCATAAAGAAAGAGAACCAACTATAAACAATTACACGAATTCCAGTGTATCATCACAAATTAAAGGCGATTGAATCATCAGAAGAAAAATTTATAAAAATAAAAATAAAAATAAAATCCTCCTAAGCGCTAGGCGCCCGCCTAGGCGGGTCTGGGCGTTTTTTTTTTTCTTTTTTTAGATATTTATTTTCCAGGTTAAATTTTAATGCTTTTTTAACCCCAGTAGTAGTAGATAAAAAAAAAAATTTCTTTAAATGATATTCCTAGTTGAAAACATTTATTTTCTATTTGGTGGCAATTTCCGAGATACACAACTCAAAACCGCTCGATTAAATTTTGTAGAGTGTAGAGTGTCCAAATCCCTTCTTCCCCGTACGTTTTTCTTTGCCATTCAGATCCTCTCCCCTTTGATAAACACAGAAAAAGGAAGTTGGGAAAACAGGCAATACAATTGCCTAGCCAACACTAAACAAAATATTCAAAGATGTAAGATGAAAAGGCAAAATAATTAGCAGCAGAGTCACTGACATTTCATATATGGTTAACATTCATACATTGTTTTAGAAAATATGAACCACATTAGCAAAGCACAAGTTTTGCCATATGCAAAAGTTATCTCTTTAAACTCCTAACAAATATCCGACGTACGGCAAGTTGCAGCCATCAAATAATGGTCAGAATCAGCACAATCTTAAAGATAGGGAGTTGCGCTCATCAATTTACAGAACTCTTGTGATTCATGTCACAGTTTCAGCCACTTTGGCTTAACAGGTTTTTTATCTGCAGGCTTCTTCTCTTGAACAACAGGAGGTGATGCCTCTGGTATCGTACGTTTCTGGTGCAGACTCAACAGGCTCTGCATGCTTGGTGAGGAGTTCCAAACCTTTCAAAGACATGATCTCTTCCTGAAGGAAGGGACCTGACTTGGTATCTGAAGCATCATCTGCCTCTTTAAGCTTTCGTGTTTTTAGAACCTTATCTGTTCATATTGCATTAATGAAATATAGTAAGTATAAATACCATAAGAATACCTCCAATTGCATGTATCAGGCATCTCAATGTGCTTGCTTCCACAGATAATCCAAAATATAAAAAGCTATAAGCTGAATGGTTTGGCCTAGCATAGTTGAATTGCTTCATACCAGTAATAGACTCTTCAGTTTGCCAAGAAGAAGCAGCTGACGTTTCAAAAACACGAATTTCTCTCCCCAACTTTTCTTTTGCTGCTGTGAGCTTGGCCTGAACTCACCCCGACAAAACGAAAAGGCAAAAGTAAATGTAATATCACCCAACACACTCATATGACAGAATGAATCGCGGTGATTTGCACCAATGATTAGTATATACAAACACAGCTATTACAATGTGTACTTGTGATTTTCTAGTTAGCTACAATTATATTTTTATTATTATTATTTCTTTATTGAATAATTAGAATTAAATATTTTAATTAAGTTCATAAATCATATTACTTAATAAATAGTTACTAATTTTTAAATTTTTTTCTTTAATAAAATATTTAAAGACAAATTATTCACTAAGTAAACAATAATTGAAGTAACTACAAAAGAGAAATTCGGAGTATGCTATTTAAAGGGTATAGCCGACCGGCTATACTTTTAAAATGTTCTATTTATACCGTACAGCCGTTCGGCTATACCCTTTAAATAGAATATATTCACAGTATAGCCGCGCGGCTGTACTTGTAAAATTTTCTATTTATAGAGTAAAGCCGCACAGCCACACGCTTAAAATTTTCTATTTATAGAGTATAGCCGCGCGGCTATAATTTTAGATATTCCATTTATAGAGTATAGCCGCATGGCGATACTGTGAATACATTCTATTTAAAGGTTATCGCCGCACGGCTGTACTTGTAAAAGTTTCTATTTATTAATTTTAGCCGTGCCGCTATACGTGTAAATATTCCATTTATGGAGTACAGCCGATCGGCTATACGTTGAATATATTCTATTTAAAGGGTATAGCCGGCTATACTTGTAAAATGTTCTCAAATGTGGCCCAAACCCAAACACGTGAGCCCCAGTCATCCATAATTTCCGCTCAAAAAGAAAACCGTTTGAAATTCCATACGAAACCCAAATTATTTCTTGCTAATTCCAGATTCCAGCGTCCCAGATTCGATCACAGAAGAGAAGAAGAGACAAAAACGAAGAAGACCCAGTTCACATTCGTTAACCTTCTTCCGGTTCTAGAGAGAGATGAATCATGTTTGTCACCACCAGCATTTGACTTTGGGAGGAACATGGGGAAGTGTTCCACATTCCCAAATATTATTCAATTTCTGTGGCGGTCGTCTCTCAGCTGGAATCTCGCTCTCTCCCACTCTGTTTCTTCCTTTCTTAATGCTCACTCTCCCTCTCTTTCCTTCTTTCTTTCTCTCTTTCAGCCACAGAGAGAGTACTGTGTGTCACAACTTGACTCAGATCCACACTTCATTGCCTTTGCGTGCTCTTCAAAAAGATGGTATTCATGGATTCACGTTTTCTTCATGATTTCCACTACCCGGGCGTTTGATATCTCTCTCTTTCTGGTTTTATTCAAACCCCTTTTTGTGGTTGGTTAAGCTTTTCCCATTCCTTGTCTTCTTCTGTTATACATTTCTCGAGCTTGGAAGACTAAACTAAAAAAGGTTTTCCATTGGTAAGATCATATACATCTTTGAGTAGAAATGGATATGATTTGAGGCTTTGAGTTTCAGAAAATGAAAATTGGAGTTTAGTTTTCAATTGGCTTGCTAATTTTTTTGCAGGTGGGTGATATGTCATCTGATTTCAAGTTAGATGCAGTTAAAGGCCATGATAGTGAGGACCCAGAAGTTGGTTCTCTGAATGGAGTTCATACCATTCTTCCAGAACGTAGAGCTACGACTTTGAGTGACAGGTAGAGTCATCAGCTACCTACTCTTCATTTTAAAATTTGAGGCTTTGAAGCTCCACAAGAAATGGGACTTATTTGGTTTTTGCATTTTCAGTTAAAGAGTTGCGCAATGTAAATTTGATTCTCTTCCTTGGAAGTAACTTTGATAAACACTACCAATTTCTGCTAGTGGGGGTCACTGTTAGCTTAAGCACATGGCTTCTTAGCTTGAGCATATGGGATATGAAAGCTGTGTGGTAAATTTGCCTCATTGCTAATTTGGCACATTTCCTTTGTTTGTCTCTTTCTTTGTTAAAGCAGATTGTTTAGAGGGAGTCGAGCTGGGCATGGCGAGATTGTCTCCATTCTGAATGAAAAGCGTGGACATGGGTCAGCAAAGAAATCTGGACCTCTGTTGTCTGGGACAGCTTATTGCATTTCTTCTTGCAGCATGATACTGCTGAACAAAGTTGTTCTGTCCAGTTACAACTTCAATGCAGGAGTATCCTTGATGTTTTATCAGGTTAGCATTCTCACTCCCTTCCAACCCACTTGCTTTTTGATAAGGATGAAATTACCATGTAGAAGTTTTATATTTATAAGTTGCAGATGTCTTCCTGTTTTTTGTGTTTTCTAGCTAGGCTAATAATAATCGAGTCCTTGTCACTTCTTGGGTGATAATTTTTCTTATGAAACTCCACAAATTTAGCCAGCCAAATGGAATCTTTATTTGTTCCATATGCTTCTTTGCAGAATTTGATAAGTTCCGTAATTGTTGTCCTCTTGGGCTTCTCTGGAGTTGTTACTTTGGAAAAGCTCAATTGGAAACTGGTCAGGGTCTGGATCCCTGTCAACATAATCTTCATCGGCATGCTTGTGTCTGGCATGTATAGGTAAGTTGAATAATTGTATACCTTGCACTTTTAGGTGCCTTTCATTTGTTCAATTTGGAGCTTATTGTTCGTTCAGGCCTAGAGTAAAGGGAATGAGGACAAATTGTGAAGGGAATATTGGTGATACGATCCACAATATATAGTTCTCTTAGTTTGAAGCTCTATATGGTTGATTACTAAAACATATTCTAACATACATTTAAAACTTAATGTATTTTGGTTCTTTCTTTTTCCTTTCAGTTTGAAATACGTAAATATTGCAATGGTCACCATTCTGAAGAATGTGACAAATATTTTAACAGCAATTGGAGAATTATATTTGTTCCGGAAACATCAGAGTCAGAAAGTGTGGACTGCCATGTTTTTTATGGTAATCAACTCTATAGTTAATGTTTTGCAGGAAACTGCCAGCATTTTGATTCCCATGTCATGTATATTGCTCCGTAGATGAAATATATTTACTTTTTTCTTCACCAGACAACTGTTTGACATAGAAGTTTCAATGAGTACTATCATCTCTTATGTATCGCAGATTATCTCCGCTATCAGCAGTGGCATTACAGATATCTCCTTTGATACATTAGGTTACGCATGGCAGATTTCGAATTGCATACTAACAGCAAGCTACTCAGTAAGTAGTAGTGCTATAGTTTTGGAGATCTGTTAGTGTTTAGTTTGTTTTGGAGACCTGTAACTTTAAATTTGGACCACAGCAACTACAGCTCTTGTGCAGGTCATTTTATGATTTGTGCAAATATTTTGTCTTTGTGACAGCTCACTCTACGGCGAGTCATGGATGAAGCAAAAAAATACACAAGATCTGGCTCTCTCAATGAAGTTTCGATGGTCTTGCTGAATAATTTGTTATCTCTACCATTTGCCGCCTTCTTGATTATTATGTTTGATGAATGGGAATATATAATAAGCGTGTAAGCTTATGCTTCTAATTTTAAGTTTGACATAACTTCATGCCCTTTTCTTCTTGGAAGCACATTTAGTTCACTTCTTCTACCTAATGCTTTGGTTTCAATATGCAGGGATGTAATCAAATTGCCTATGTTTTGGGTCATTGCAACAGCTAGTGGATTGCTTGGACTTGCCATCAGCTTCACCTCCATGTGGTTTTTACATCAAACTGGCCCCACCACCTATAGGTAATTTTTGCTGTATACTTAAGCTCAAAATGAACTTCTCACGAGTATCTATATAGGCACTTCTGATGTTCTTCTGCTTTACAGTCTGGTGGGTTCCTTAAACAAGATTCCGATCTCGCTTGCTGGTTTAGTCCTGTTCAAGGTGCCTCTCAGTCTACCAAACCTCTTCAGTATACTATTTGGTAATCAGCTTAATCACTCTGTAGACAATGAATACCAGTACTGTGATTTCATTACTCTCAATTTAATGGATTTCGTTTCTCCCCAGGTTTATTTGCCGGAATATTCTTCGCCAAGGCCAAGATGTCCTGATCCAGGCCTGGATTTTAGAATTGCGATGAAGGAACTAACTCATGCTCAGATAAAAGAAAGGCAAACTGCCTGCACAAACAGTTTCTGGGCTTGGAAGAAGCACTGGATATACTTCTTTTCTTTCTTTTTGTTGGAGAAAGCAAAGATATTATTTGTTTTACAAGCATAGGACCAATGAGTTACAAGAGTTGGAAATTGCAATTCTGTTTATATTTACTACTTGGTTATGATTGGCCAAGCTAACTAGCCAAGAAAAACCACATGTGAGGGACAATACTGTTAACTAAATTGTTTATTTCCCTCTACATGTAATTCTTTCAGCAAAAATTTTGTTGATGAAAAATGATATCCTTCTTTACCAACTAGCACTTGGTCGGGTGGTATTTCTCTTTTCAATATTGGAAGAGGTTTCCAAGTTCGAATAACCTCATTGCCATTGATTTTTATTTTTATTTTTAAATAGTATCGTTTTCTGGTTTGTTGATTAAAAAGTATGATTATTTCTGGTCAAATGATCATTAACTTACCAGCCATTAGAAATTAATGAGTGAATTTATTTCTTCTCTTTTTGGCTGATCACTCATATGCATATGATTTAAGCACCATTATTCTTTTTATTTTCAAATTAAAACCTCTTCATCTACTCCAGTAAGTAACGGATGACTGTAGTCTATGGCACTTGAAAATGATGTCCTAAAAGTATTAAATCTAGAAATTGAGCTTAGTCTATTCTTCAAATTCTATCATATCAAATTGTCAACCCAGTCACTCTATGAGTCAAAATGGTCATAGATACAAATTCACCCCTAAAGTCAAAATCTAACATGCAAATTGGTGGTCTCATGCTCAGGACCTTTATGACACCTTGATAGTGTATGTGTGTGATAAAATCCCATCCAATATCGCTTGTATATAAAAAAATAAAAAAATAAAGACGAAGCTTTGAGGGAACCAAAATAATTAAAATTAAAACTACTAAATACAAAAATAAAATAAAAGAAAAGAAAAAAAAACAATGAGGGAGCTTAATTCGAAAGAAATTGGAATAGGTGCAGTAGCCATATAATTACTTCCACAATTGGCTAGCATTTAGTACCCAAACAAAGCAATTATAACTGGAGATTAAAATTTTGCCAAAATTCCTCTTCCTAATAAATCATATTTAATTTCAGAAATTTTAATTAGTGCATCATTGGGCCAAAATACCCTCATTTCATTATGTGCCATGAGAGTGTTAATTAATGGGTAAAATTGTATTTCCATTACAATGGCGCCAAATTGATCAACATTTCGTAGCTGCCCAAATCACTACCTCAGAGTTACTTTAAAATTATCCCAAATTTTAACAAATCTGTAATAAAATGAATTTAATAATTGTGGAATTAATAACGAAACCCACTAATATCTCTCCTCCCCCAGCCCCAGCTCTTTCTACTTTTGTACAAGAGAGGAAGCTCAGGAGTTACAACCAAAGACAATTCTCAACCGTTGGATGCACCTCCAGTTGTACGGCTATTAAGCCATGTGGCTCATTACAAGGCCTAGTACATGCTAATTGTCCAGCTATCGTTATGGGTGCTCTCTCTCTTTCTCTCTCTAAGCACAAAATAAAGAGAAAGAAACAAAAAAGAAGACACAAAACCTCTCACCAAAATTGCAGCCTCCTCAATTTCTCTCTTCTTTTTGTCAATCACTCTTCTTCAACTGTGTCTTCCATGGAAGGAGAGAGAGAAGGAGAAGAAGGTGGTGGTGGTTATGGTGTTTATGGGCTTATAAATAACACACAACCATACCATCCTCATCATCACCATCAAAATATACATAGACCAGGTCCTCCATTGACAGCTATAGACAGGTTCCTGTGGGGAAGCCAGAGCAATCTCTCTCACCAAAACAATCCAAGCAGCAAAGAAAATGTGGTTTCCACAAATGGGTTGTGTGGTTTTTCTTCTTTTGGTGGTGCAATTGGCCACGAGGCTTCTTGTTGGCCTAGCTATGGTGCTGGTGCTCAATATCCCCAAGAGGTAAGCTTTCTGGATGGGCTTTTGGGTGATCATGGAGAGGCCTTGATGATGGCTTGGAGTGGCCAGGCAGAGCAAAACCCTAATACTGGTTTCATAGAAGAAGCAAAGGTTTCAGAAAGGAGGGTGGGAAAGAGAGCTAGAAAAGGTTTACCTGCTGCAGCTTTAATAAAGGGACAGTGGACTGATGAAGAAGACAGGTAGGTCACATATATAACAAGAAATAACCTTGTCATCATCCTCTACTTGCCTTTTTTTCTTTCTTTTTTTTTGTTCAAGTTTATGGATGTTTCATTTCTTTGTTTGGTTGATTTTGATTTCTTCTAGTCACAAATAATGTTGCATGTAAAATTAATGGGTTGTTTTTGTTTTTGGTGTGGTGAATTAGGAAGCTGATCAGGTTGGTGAAGCAACATGGAGTGAGAAAATGGGCACAGATAGCTGAGAAGCTGGTGGGTAGGGCTGGCAAGCAGTGTCGAGAGAGATGGCATAATCATTTGCGCCCTGATATCAAGGTTTGTTCTTAAATCACTTTTGGTGTCGATGTTGTTGTATGTCTTTGATGCATGAATAACTAAGAACTTCAAATCTTTGGCTTAGATTTGGCACAATTATTTAGCTACGAGTTAGGATTTCACTGTGAAAAGTCTCCAAATTTCGCTATATTTTTGCTCGGATTGTGATCTATGGATCTCTATATTATATTACTCAAAAAAGTCAAAGTTGCAAATTTAGATTGTGAAGGATCTATTTATAGATCTGATAGATTTTCTCTCTTTCCGTTTGGGTAAGTCAAATTGTATTCTCAAACCCTAGTTTATGGTTAGCTAAATAGCTATAAGTAGCATATTTGTGAATGTTTATTTTGTAATTAAACATCATTTTTAACAAAAATGCACATCCTTTTTTCAGTTAAGCATAAACTAATTTGGATTTTTTTTTGTAATATATGCACATACGAATTTTGTTCCCTATAGCTTATAACTTTAGAGTGCAATGTGCCATATTTGTGCTTGGTATCTTGGTTTTTTCAGAAAGATAGCTGGACTGAAGAGGAAGAGACGATACTTGTGGAAGCTCATACTGAGGTTGGGAACCGTTGGGCAGAGATTGCGAAACGCATTCCTGGAAGAACCGAAAACGCCATCAAGAACCATTGGAATGCCACAAAAAGGAGGCAGAATTCAAGGAGGAAGAACAGGCAGGCAGAGGGGAAAAATGGAAACAACAACAACAAGCCTCAGTCTTCCATACTCCAAAACTACATCAGGAGCAAGAACCTCATGAGCAACAACAACAACAAAAATAATAATAACTCCTCCCCAAATGTTTCCACTATTAGCAACAACACCCCAACCAGTTCTTCCACTCTCTCTCATGAAAACCCATCAAAAACCCACCTCAACATTTTGGCCACAGAGCCATCTGACCAGTCCACAACTAGCAATTGCTGTGACTCTCCTTTGAATTTGGGTGATACATTATACAATGATGAGGAGCTTCATTTCATGCAAACTTTCTTCACCAACAATGTTCAGACTTTCAATCCTCATCAGCAGCATCCATCCCATTCCATTGACAGCAGCAACAACAGCAACAACATTGGCCTAATTGTTAGTCCAGTGGAGCCTATACAAAATGCTATTAATCCCACTACTTCTACTACTCCTACCCCCCTCTACTCTGACCTTTACCTCTCATACCTCTTAAATGGGTCAGCCAACTCATCATCATCTTTTAGTTCCACTGATCATCATCACTTGGGTTTTTACAACACAAGCATGGAATATTTGATGGCACATGATCAATATCATGAAGCTGCTGCAGCTGCTGCTGCTTCTTCAAATGAAAGGAGAGAGATGGATTTGATAGAGATGGTTTCTTCTTCTCAATTTGCTCAGGGTACCAACAGAACCAGCTTCTGATCTTCAACTCAGGACATAGTTTCTTCTAGCTGTGAAGAACTATTAGGAACTAATAATTAATGTGAAGCCTGGATTCTCTTTTTTTCTTTTTTTTTGACTGGATTGGAAATTACCAATATGGTGTTGGTTGGCTTAAATATTGCTAAAATGCTTGTATTGTGTGATAAGCGTTTTATAGTTTATTAGTTGTAGCAGGCTGGACTGCAAAACTTTCTTTTCTGGGGTTTCTTTTTCAGTTCTGTTTCTGTCTTTTTCTTTACTTTTCCTAACTGCCTCTGATTCATTACAGTTTTGTTGACGAGGGTTTTGGTTGGAGGCAGTGAGAGATAGAGTGGAATGTTTTTCCCACACCCTTCAGCCCTACATGCACTGCATTTGTATATTTAGAATTTTAGAGTCACCTTTTTTTTTTATAGTTCAATTTAGAAGGAAAGATGAAAGAGAACTGAGAAGAATCCGCTTGTGGTTTAATTTTGTTTTGTTAAGGTAAGCCATGTTGGAATATTTTGTTAAGGAGTTACATTCGTTATCAAATCTTCCATTTTTATCGTTTTGTATAACGGTCAACATGTACATCACTCGTAAATATATAAGTTTTAACATCATCAATTTGTGTAATGGTCAACGCATATGCCACGCGTAAGGGTATAATAAGCCTATTACGATCCTTTTGCATCAACTTCATTGACTAGGGTCTCCAAGATTTATTGAAACGGGTGTAAAATGACCGTACACACAAATGAACAAGTTTGTAGATTGGTCTAAAATTTCGGTTTGTTAAGGTAAAGCCATGTTGGAATGTATTTTGTTAAGAAGTTACATTCGTTATCAATCTTAGTCAAAATCTTCCATTTTCTTGGATTTGTGTAACGGTAAACGTGTACGTCACACATAAAGATAAAAGTTGTAAAATCATCAATTTGTGTAATGATCAGCGTGTATGACACACGTAAGCGTATAAGTCTATTACTATCATTTTGCGTCAACTTCATTGGTTAGGTCTCCAAGATTTATTGAAATAGGTGTAAAATGACCGTGCATAATACTCCTACGCAAATGAACAAAAATTGGAGATTTGGTCTAAAATTTGCTAGACCATTCTTGTTTTGAAGCCATTAAAAAAGTTATCTTGAGAGCATCCACAATCATGCTCTCTATTTTTCAATTAAATTTTAACTAAAAATATATATAAGTTATTTTAGGAGCTCTCTATAAAATTTAAACTCCAATCATGCTCTCTATTTTAGAGAGTCATAAATGCTATAACTTTTTTTAATTGGTCCATCTCTATTAAAAAATAATATAAAAAATAATTAGCATTAATTAAAAGTTTGGAATACTAATAAAATAAAGCAGCATTAAATTATAGGGAGCCACTAGGAGTTCCTTTTTTAGGAGCTCCTAGAGGTCTCCCTATTTTAGGAGGTGGATATGGAGCATGTTAGAATTGTATTTTTCCAATTCCTCCCTAAAATTTATCTAAGGAGGTGGTTTAGAGAGTTGTGAATGTTCTACCACAATTTTGAACATGCTCATTTGGAAATAAATTGAACGTTGGGCCACAGTTGATCCAATAAGGCTGTTGGACCAGCTATATATAGGTAGGCTAGAAACAAACATCAGGCTTCAGATCGAGCCCAAAGATGGTCAGACCTGGGGTCTCCTTCTCCTTAGCCTGTGCCAATTGGGTTTGCAGCCCAACAAACTAGCCCATAAGAATTCCTCTTTTTCCTTTGAAACAAAACTTGGGCAAATGACTCATTAGTGTAGTAGTTTGGAGCAATTGCTCCCCCAAGAAAGGTTTTGGGTTCGAGTCCTAGTATCCGTGTAGTGTGTATTGAGTTTATTATGTTATCGCTCCTCTCAATATAAAAGGTTGTAAATTGGTATAGACTTCACGGTGAATTATGCATTAATTTACATGTCATGCCCAAATTATTAGCAAGATTGTTAAGATTTCAAAAAGGCGAATGCCCGCTATTAATTGGTCTAACACAAATATTATTTCTAGCTTAACCACATGCATATTATAGTATGTGGGAGGTTTTATCACAAAATGTCTCGATATGATATTGAATTCTTCACGAAAAAAACTATATTTATACTAGTATTGCCCCCATCATCTATAATATTAGACATATGAGATTGAAGCAGCAACCGAGATGAATGAGATCTAGTGTGTGAGAGAGAGGTATGGAGAGGAGAGGCATATGCATATATGAATGAGATTAAAGAGAGAAAGGTATGGAGAGGGCATGGGAAGGAAGGAGAGAAGATGAATGGAGACATAGAGAGACTGGTCTTAGATTAGATTAATTCATCACCATCTTCGATTTCACGTGATGGCCGTCATTTTCTGCTTGGCTCTAACTTAATAATCTCATCTCAATTCCCCCAATCCAACGACCCCATTTGACTTCAGACACATTATTGTTCATCTATATGCTTCCTATGTCTAGTCATTTGCTTTTCAAAGCAAACAGTTGTAATTATTGCTACGCGTTAAGGTCATGTCTTCCCCAAACACCTAACTTCACATGGTTAAACTTTACTAAAGGAGAAGAATATGCTACATATTGTCCAATAATTGTGAAGAGTTACTAACTTTGAAAAACATGCATTTGGTACTGCACATTATACATCATCAAAAGCATGATTGCTTTATTCATAATTATTACAAGAGAGCCTATTCACAACCCCCTAAATCCCATGTTCCGAAAAATTATTGTATACAACGTAGTTCTTACAAGATTGATCTCATAAGTAACATACGAGAGAATTCAGTTATGAATCAATCGAGGAGGGGGCTATTGACCTACTCAACAAGTTGAGTTTTACATTGATTTGTCCAATAACTCATCTATAATAAAAGGCAAAATAAACTAGCCAAGGAAGCCGCATATAATTGGATAGTCTTGAAAATTTTTGGATCCGTCACTGATCTAAACATGAGGAAAAAGTGGGATACGATATCTTTATAAACTCACTCGGATCGGATTGAGGAGTGGGAAACCATTACCCTTTTCTCTCAGCCACCCATGAAGGTGCCGTGCCATCATTGTTCTTTAGACAAAAGTATATAGTTTTTCCATGTCTTCATAATCCCCGATAGAAACAAATCAACAACTTAGTTCACACACTGTATCCCCACAAAACACAAAAGAAAATTCAATTGAAGAGAAGAAATTTCCAGAGCCATGCATAAGCAAAATGCACGAGAAACACGTGCTTTCTTTGACCAAATTATGTTTCAATTTCGCATTTGTAGTAAAATTGAAAATGGCATAATATTAACAAGGAGGCTAATTACACTTTGCCATGTGATTGTTTGTCTCGACCCAAAAAAAGAAAGAAAAGGAATTAACAAAAAAAAAAGCGACATAATCTGTGCAAAAACAGCCATGTATTCCGATTGGCTCCACTCCCCGCGCACATACAGATCGGAAACAACGCGCAACGCCAAACACACTGCAAATTCTGCTGCCAGTTTTGCCGTGCATGTGAGCATGTCCCAGGTCACGTGCTTCCCTCCGCTCCAAACGCCACCACCACCACCGCCCACCAAAACTTCAGGAACAAATAAATATTAAAAAAAAAAAAAGACCTCTTGCTAGTCTCTTCCTTTTTCTCTTTATTTATTTTTTGGATTTTCTAATACCAAATTCCGAGTAAAATTGGGAAAATAAACGGAAGGTGACGGCTCTTTTCTCTTCTCTTCTCTTCTGTATGTGTTTTTTTTTATAAAAAAAATGTAATTTACTAAGCATCTTGGGTGTCATCATCAGGAGAGTTGAGAGGGAAACAGGTGTCCTCAGCGCCGGTGTCCCAAAGAAAATGGGCATAGTTGGCAGCGTAGTATGAGTTGCTTGGGTCAGCTGAAATGGCTTCCAAGAAGGTTTCTTCTGCAGCCCACAAGTCGTTTCGAACCCTCCACAGAAACGTCGCGTATTTGTTGTAGGCCTCCGCGTCCGGTGGCTCCAGCCCTACTGCCTTCTTGAAGTACTCTTCAGCTCTGTTTCCAAACCATTAAACAATCACCCCGAAAGTCAGCCCACATGTAATTGCGCTTTAAGCTAATCACACTCTACTTAAGTACAAATCCATCATTAATCACACTTTACTTATAATTACGCTAAAAGAAACATATTTTTAGACCATATAGTTTCAAATAATTTTATTAAAATCAAAGCAAAGATTCTTTTTTTCAAGTGAAGCGCGTGACCAATAAGGGAAAATACCACCACACATTTCCCTGTCTGTCAGGGCTATCACTGGAAAAAAAAATTTAAAGCAACACGACAATAAAGAAAAATCAAAGGCAAGAACCCAGAGATTTTTTGTCTTTCTTTTGACCAAAGACGCATAAAAATAGAAAAACATTGACTTGCTCCACTAGTCCACTTGACAGTTTAATTTCCACAACCAATGAATGAAAATGAACTTAACCCAAGAAATTTATGGACATGAAAATCAAAATTAGCAACTAAAACTTTGAGAATTTGATGAAATTGAACAGTACCTGTCATAATCATGAGCAACTTGGTAGAGGAACTGAGCGTAATTGGCAAGAAGCAGAGCATTGCTGGGCTCTATGGATAGTCCCGTTTGGTAGAGAAGCTCTGTTCTGAAGTACTCCTCGTAATCATCACCCTCCATATTCACCACCACCGGCGAAACAAATCTCTGCATCGTTTCATGGTTCACAGCTTCATGGTAGCCTCGCATTTCATGAGCTTCTTCCACTATTGAATTCCACACAGCCAACTCCTCCTCTTTGCTCTCTTGCCCGGACACCGACTCTGCCTCTGTCGTCGTCCCAAGTGAGGACAACTGCGAAGCTCCGTCGGGGACAATTGTCCGGTACTGGTCCGACCCGTCGAACCGGCCGTCTCCTTCCGTGCCGCTGCCCACGGGTCGGGCTTTCCCACCACCGCCATTGTTTCCGCCTATGGATGTCGTTTTCCCATTCACGTTCCCATTCACAGAAAACGACTTACTTGTCGAGGAATCAAATTGGGTATTATCCAATTTATCGTTGTGATTCTGAACCTCCTCCACTGATATAGTAGTCTCAGTTGCACTGGAATATATCCCAGGTGGCGGAGCAGCCGCAATGGCGGCGTTATGGCCTAATGAGTAGACGGTGAAATTGGCCAGGAGTATCATCACGTACACCATTAGCGTCGGCGTTTGAGAAAAGACCTGTTGAAAAAGCCAAACGAACGAAGCGTGCATCTCCTTCTGAACACGACCCAAAATCCCCTGTAAATCTTCGTAGAACAGAACCGCTCTCATCTGTAAGGTGTACGTATGAAGCTCTCGGATTATGAACACCATGGAAGAGAAGGCCTTTTTCACAGAGGAACACGCGGATTCCCCAGCTTCTCTGAACCCTTCCTGCCACTGCAGCTTTCTCTTGATCATCCGGAGAGAGAGCGGAAGCCTTCCGCTCGATGCTCGCCTCCGGAACAATCTCGTCCCGCTGCTGCCAATCGGACGACCACGGTAGCTCCAGATCGAGCGGCAACTCGAACAGGCTCTGGTTCTGTTCAAATCTCATTGTTGAAGAAGAGTCATTGACGCGGCGACTATCAGAATCAGCTTTCTCTGTTTCCGAATTCGAAGTGTTACCGTCGCCGTTGCCGTTATCTTCACCGTCAAAATCGTCCGAGAGCTGGAATCTGAGAGCGAGCTCTTGAATCTTCTTCGAGAACTCTTCGTCGGAGAAGGCGTCCAAGTTCGCACTGCAAGCTCTTTTCATGGACCGAAATCTCGGCTTCCGTAACTCGCATGACCTGGATCGGTTTAGCTTCGTCGATGGAGCTCCAAACAGAGCCGACCGGTTCAAGCTGTGGACGTAGAGGCAGAGAACAGCTCCGCCGTCGCCGCCACGGGTACGTCGTTTTGAGGAAGGAGATGCGATTGCGGAGGCTAGAGTTTGAGAGGAAGGGGTAGAGTGTGGAACGATCGGCTGCGACCATTGCAAACAGGTCGAAGCTACTTTCACTACCATTTCTCGCGGCTTTCGGATCAGAAAGTGAAGGAAAAATGTGAAATTGATAAAATTGAAGAAAAGGAATCAGAGTTTCAGCTTCGTTTTTATAAAGCTCGAATTTTTTTTGCCTTTTTCTCCCTTTTTGGCGTAATTCAATCGGATCTGCAGAAAGTCTTTGCCTTTCTTGCTTCCAACTCACTCTTTAACCTGAAAAAGAAAAAAAATATCAACGAAACAAATCAAATCAGACAAGCACGTGAGAAAATTCCCCAATTTTCCAGGAAAACACAAGAGACAGAAACTGGAAATCGAAAATTTTCATGCCACTCATTGTATTTTCCCGGAAAATCGGATCGGGGAAACGCGTCCCAAAGCCACTCAAAAGCTTGCACAATAACCACGAAAATTGAGATCCCTAAGCATTGAAAAAAAAAACAAGCAATATTTCCAGGAAAATGAACTCACTTAAATTTTTTCGGCAAATTCCGATAAATTTTCAGATTAAGCTCGAAGGAAACTGATAAATTTTCCGGCGAGTCCCTCAGAACGAAGCTCACTAGGCGTAGCTTCGGAGGAAAATGAGCCACTCTTTGGGTCCTATATATACAAACACGAGCTCTGTTTGACGCTTGCGCTTAAAAAATCTCCGACCGTATATAAATAGGAAGACCGTATGTTGACCATATACCGTATACGGGTACGAAACCGGAAGGTCCGGTGGCGGGTAAGTTACCGGGATATTTATGCGATTTACTGGCTTTTTTGGTTTCGCGTTGTGGGCCCGAGTCCGCTGGAAATTTTGGAGGAGGGTTTTGAACGGAAGCTGCTCAACGACTTCAGTCCCGCGGCTGCTGACGCGGACCATTTTCCATCCGATCTGGCTGCTCTCCGTGCGCCACGTGTCCACACGGACCACGACCTTTACTTTCCGTGAATCCGTGATATACTACCAGCCACGGATGGTACTTCGGGAACTCGTGTCAGTTTGGGATTGGTTTAAGGCAACCGCATGCTAACTTTTTTTGTTTTGGTCAAAAAACCACATGCTATTAGTTTGAATTTTTTTTGTTGGGATAAGAAGTTTGTATTTTGCTAATTTATCGAGCGGTTGATGTGCATAAATTAATAGGTAATTATAATGAATAACATAAAATGTAAATGTAAACAGTCACATAATAGGTTTTTGAGGAACTTTCCTATTGAGAGTGTGATAGTATACCAAATAATTCTTAAGTTGTTTCGACTTTTAACAGCTTATATGTCATCAATTAATTGGTATATATATATGAGAGCTGATTTTCCCGCTCTTATTTCTCCACTTACACTCCCTTTGCTTTTTAATACTTTTTAATCAATTTTGTTTTTTTTTCTTTCCTATTCTACCCTTACTCCACAGTAATTTCTTTTTACTTCACTTCCATATTATTTATTTCTCTTTATACTTTATTTTTCTATTCTACCCTTACCCTATATTTGTTCTTTTTGGCAACTCATGTTGTGTTGTTTAAGTGGAATGACACAGGTTGGTTATACTAAATCCTCCTTCATATTTGTTACTGAAGTTATGATTTTAATTTGAGTTATGGTATTGAGTATATGAGATTATTGAATATTATATCCATTCATATACTCTCTAATATTTTAATATGAAAAAAATAGAGCAATATTTCAGATAAGGGATGTGGATGTATGTGGCAAATGTACATTTGGAACTGTACTCTTTTTGTTCTATTTATATTTTGCTAAATGGATGGAATCATTTTTTGTCCAAAAAATAAAGAAAATTTTGAATCATTTTCTTAATATCTACATGTATGATTAGTTCCCAAAAATCGAATTTATGATTGCTAATTATCAAAGTATTAGAACCTTAATCGAATGCTTTGGACATGTAGGGACTAATCATGCATGCAAACGTTTGTGTATGTGATGTGCAAAACTGTCTTTTTAGTGTCAAATAATTAGTCTACAAACTACTAGCCAGAGATGAGAAGATGAAAAAAAATTAGTACATAATCTAAAGCAAAATACGTAGAGGTACTCCACTAATCAGAAGAAAGCAAGCCTTGGCTTTTTCTGTGATTACATTACACGATGGAGCTTAATTGGTTATTAACAAATCATGCGAAAAAGACATAAGATCACCTTATCAGTAGAGAATCTCACAAATACCGTCACATGTGTCGGTAATTCTTGTTATTATTATTTTAGTATAAGTGATTGGGATATGGGAGTTTATATAAATATTCATTGGGTGTCTGGGGTTTTCAAACCTCTGTCCACATAGATGGAGGCGAAAGAACTCAACAAACTGAGCTATATCCCATAAACATTTCGGCAATTATTATAATTAATAACTGTTACCTCTATAATATGCCAAAAAAATCATATGTTTGCTTAATTAAGCTCACACTTTCTACAACTTCCTTCCGTCCCCTCTATTAAACTTGTCTTACCGTAGACGACCTCTCATGCAACTATTTGGTATAAGCAACTTCTTCAAAAGACAAATTTGTAATTAAGAAACCAAGTGTTGTAGCCAATTTCGGTACTCATATTAACTGCACATGTCCCCATCTCCCATCCCATGATAGGTTTTAGGCCAATAATTATCTTTGCTCTAAATAGGTATAAAAATAAATGTGGTCATCGTCTCTATAAGACCAAAGTAAGTTATGTAGCGTGACCGATGATTTACAGTTGGTCATAAGCACGAAGATGGTTATGATACTAGCTTAAGCTCAATTTACATATGTCGCATCTCCCGTGATAGGTTTAAGGCAAATCCTTTAAATAGGTATATAAATAAAGACAGTAAGTATGATCTAATTAACTTATATAATCACATTTACTTACATTACGAAATATTAGTATGAGTGAATTACATTGTGCGACTCATGATTTAAAAATTGTCTACAAACGCATAAATAGTCAATACTAACTTAGACTCCAGTAACATAAGGTTAACACTAATCAACTACTCAAAATCATAATCATTCACCTCTTTTTTTTCTTCAGGAAAATCATTCAATTGTTTTATTAAATTAAACTTAACTTGTATATATCAACGGAATCTAGGCCAATAAAAAAGAGCTTTGGCTTAAAGATCAATAGTTTACACTTTAGTGGGTTTTGTCATTTCGGGAATAAAAAATGACATGTGCTACAATTGATCAAGAGAGTTAGCCAATTGCTAATTGAGTTCCTATGGGGAAGCACTGAAGTGGGCCCGTGTGCGCCCATTTCCGTAGGTTATTAAATATAATATCTCCGTTATATATTTTTTAATGAAATATCTTCGTTATTTAAAAACAATAAATATGAGCCTATGAATGGTGTACTTGTATATATTATTCTGCATTTTATGCGCTTTTTCTATTTCCTAGGAGTTGTTGTTTTCCTGTTTTATTATTTTATTTGGTCGACAAAAAATAAATATCTAGTTGAGGGCTTTGTGGGGTGAGGAACTAGCGGTCCAAAATGAAAGCTCAGAAGAGGGTAAGCAGTAAGCTGTAGGCCAACTTGCTTGATGTTGCCATCAGGAGAGAAGAGAGGCCAATTTGGTGATGGTGACACCACCATTTCAACGGTGGTAGGTTGTTGTTTTCAGATCTTTTTGACGGCTGCGATTACTTCTTCAACAAACTGTGTCTTCATTTTCTGCTTCACATCAGATCTTTCGATCCCATCTCATATAGTACAATGCCATTTAGGAATTGATACTCATTGACACGTAAGAGCATTCACAGTGGGGTGTATAAGGGGGTGTATGTTAAATATACACCCGTTGTGATCGGAATCACCCGCAATGTGGGGGTGTATATGAATGTATAATTACATCACCACTTTGGAGATGTATATTTAGATGCAATTGTACATCCTTTTTTACATCTCTTGTAGGTGGGACCCGGCTGCAAAAAGGAGAGGAAAAATGGAGAAAAGTGACTTTACAACCCCGAAAATACATCCCCCATTGGAGCAAAAAGCGTATTTACACCCCCCCGGAGGTATAATGGGGATGTAAAAGTGGCTTTACACCCCCGAAAATACACCCCCCCATTGTGGATGCTCTAACATTCTACTAATGGCATGGTGCAGTATTTGTTAAATAAATGGAGGATTTTTATTTTTTGGTAAATACTACGAGGTGTCTCCACATTTGAAGGGTGAGATTAATTCCCGCTCGGGATTCGGCTTGTCCCTGGCCACAAAGTGCTTCCAACGGATTTCAAACCCTTGCCATTTAGGTACTAGATAGCTCGCTAACTGGAGGTGATAATTTGCCAACTGCATCACACTTTGTGGTTAATAAATGGAGAATTTGAATTCACTCAAAGAAGGATACTACGGTTGCATAAATGCGCATAGATTGATCCCTACTATTGGCATATTGTGAGTCTTATATGCATGATTGTTAGAAGAAAACCACGTGAATGTGAGAGACTGATTCTAACACCGCTTTTCATTTTGTAATGTGATTAATTAGTACTCGAGAGAGTGCTTCCAAAGATACATTGGTGCACATACACTCGTACTAGATGGGAAAATTAGAGAGTACCAATAAATTGAAACTTGATTAGATGTTTTTAGTGCAAGCTTGGATGATTACTTTAGTAGAGAAGAAGATAATATTGTTAACAGGCGAAAAAACAATAAATTAGCTAGATTTCGTCCGAACCTTATCATATATGCTCCTCGTGTCAAACTCAATGGTGACATGCCAAGTTCATTAAGGCTCTAGTTAAAATTATAGTCAGTGAAGTAGGCATAAAACTTTAGTGCTCGTAATCCAAATCTTGTATATTAATGAATAAATATTTCGAAAGGAGTTCATCTAAATCTTACCAATTAACAATTCACATTCATTCGGTTGTGTGCTTAGCAAACCTCTTCATCATTCAAACTCAAGCTTCATCCATCATGGCGACAACTTTCATAATTCCATTAGCACCACATAGAAAAGAATTTTGTAATGAATTCAACCGTGAATGAGATAGCTATTGCTTCCAAGTGGTAGCTACTCTTCACCAAACATGAAAAACACAAGGTACAAACGGACAATGTTTGAGGATAATGATTACCCACTTGTTGTAGGGTTGAAGCACATCAAAGTTTTTTCAAATAACATGTTGGCTCAACTTGTGCATACAAATTGGTCCCTCTGTTTTGATACTAGCCGTCCAAACCAGTCACAAATTTTGTTGCTCTTCTTGTTCATTAAAGAAATGAGAAATATTGGATTAGTCATTACTGTCGGTGGTGGACACCCTTGGATCTCATCTAAAAAAAAAAGAAGAGAAATATTGTATGAAATGTAGGGTCAGGCTGGCCCAGCCGTGGTTCACTGAGCATGGCACCTGCAAGATTTTTACACCAAAAGGTTCCACTATCATCTATATCTGCTGGTTCAAGAGGGGATAAACTTCAATTGACTTTGATCCCTTTTGGGTTTATCTCTATTTTCATAAAGAAGACAAATCTGTTTTTTTCTTATATATATATATGCATTTTTTCTTCCTATGTTGGTTCTATAAATTTTGACGGACTGACGTTTAGCTCACGTTGCCAACTTATTACAGCTCATGCATTCAACAGTGTGCCA